GGGAGCTCGGGGAACCGGTGGTGTGAACTGGTTCGGGACCTGCGTGCCACTAGAGGGTTGTTTAACACGTGTCTGTGTGTAGGCTGAGCTCTGGCCACGGCCGGCTCCACGGTTTCCTGGCGGCAGGGTTTGCTGTGGCAGCTGCCGCTCATCTGAGTCTCCAGTGGCCGCCGTCACCCGGCACCGAGAACCCAAAAACTGCAAACGACCAAACTGGCTTCAATCAGGACCCAGGAGGCACCAGAAACGGGCTTTTGAAGCCAGAGACGGAAGGGCCAGGAAGTCAGGAGCAGGAGCAAAGGGAGGGATCGTGGACGTTAAGCTGAGCAAGAAAATGGAGCATCCAAGGGTAGACAGGTGGCAAAGCTTCAGGTCAACCTCCTCCTCTCCCGAGCAGCGGCCCCCAAAGATTGTTCAGTGGCTGAAGGGCAACCAACTGACTGCACAAGAGGGGTCGTGGGATCGGCCCTGCGATGAGCCGTCCCCACAACTTACACTATGAAACTTACCACCAGCCTAATCATGACTGTCCGGTGAGCGGCGTCCACCCCCGGCCCATCTGCTTCATCTTCTACTCAGGGAACAATCGAGGCTTCTAATTAAGGGTCCACTTAGGTAAGGCTCTGAACAGATTGGGGCAACATTTCTTACATTTTCTTTGAGAACCCCGGGTGAGAGGCAGTTCCTGTGGCTGAAACCATCATCTCCACCCTCAGCCCAGAGCATGGGCACCTGCCAAATTCAACAGGAAGCTGGCTGTCTGCTGCACACATGGGGTGTCAAACCATGTCAGGAGGCAACCCCCCGACCCTCCCACTAATCCGAGAAAAGGGTAAGACGGGAAAGAAGAAATGTTTGGGATCAAAAGCAAATAGACAGTTGTAAGTGGACATCCCTGCCCCCCATATCTCTATGTTCAAGAAAGTTCTTTGGTTTCAGAATATAATGGCATCTTATCAGCACTCTTTTTGAAGAATTCTCCTTTCTGAAGCTAGTTAGGTATCTGTTAGATTCAATAGTAGGCCCTTTTCTCCTTGAAGGTGTGTAATTCGAAAGGGAAGGACAGACAATTCTTCATAAAAGGTGAGAAGAATGGTTAGTTCCCCGGATAATGCAGGAGAGAGAGAGAAAGTGAAGTGGGAAAGTGCATTTGTCAGGGTACCCTGCGGAAACAGAACCAGGAGGAGATAGAGACAGACAGACAGACAGACACAGACACAGACACACAGAGATACACACAGACAGACTGACAGATACTGATTGAGAAGGTCTGGGGAAAGGCCTGACCAGCTGCATTAAAAAATGTCCCCAGGTTGCCCCGGCCGGTTTGGCTCAGTGGTTGGAGCATCGACCCGTGGACCAGAGTCCCGGGTTTGGTTCCCGCTAGGGGCACATACAAAAAAAAAGTCCCCAGACGATTTTCAGGATTTTGAGGCTGTTGGGACATACCGGATGCGCAGAGCCTCAGGCGGTAATTCTGTAATGACTTCAACTCCAAGTCCGGCTGCTGAGAAGACTAAACAAAACTCAACCAGCCAGTGGCCTAGGATGACAAAATCTTCTACCCAAGGACAATCCTCAGGTGATACTTTTTTTAGTCCCTTCCAAATCAAAAAGCACCACCTTCTGCCTCAAGCCAGGATGCTAACTCATTATGTTCACCTAGCACCTCCGTGAGGGCACAGTTTCCAGAGTATCTTGGCATCTGGACAATTCAGGTTCATCAGAAATGGCTCCGAGATGCAGAAGAGATTCAGTCTGGGAGACACTGGGATCTGGTAACAGCAGCACAACCTGGTGGGGCCACGGGCCCGGCCCCAGGCCAAGGCCTCGCTCCTGTCCTAGTGCACACTCAGGACAACACTCTTTCATGGGAATCACCCGGAGGACCGGTCAAAATGCAGGTGGCTGAGCCCTGCCCTTCGAGCTCTGGTTCCATAAGTCGGGCTCCAGGGCTGAGCGTCTGCATTTCCAACAGATTCCCAGGCGCTGCGGCTGCTCTGGGTCCCCCACTCCCAGACACCGCTTCGGGTCAATGGCCAGGACCGGATGGGCTGTGAGGCCTGGGTTGGAACCACAGCTGTGCGCTCAGGTCGCAGCCCGGATCACGGTGTGACTGGCGGGTGCAATCTTGAGGAAGTCTTTTTTTATTCATTTAATATGTTTTTATTGGTTTTTAGAGAGAGAGGAAGGGAGAGAGAAATAGAAACATCGATGTGAGAGAGAAACATCGATCGGCTGCCTCCTGCACACTCCCCACTGGGGATCGAGCCCGCAACCTGGGCATGTGCCCCAATCAGGAATGGATCCGGGAACTCTGTCCATGGGATGATGCTCAATCCACCGAGCCACACTGGCCAGGCTTGTTTGATTCAACTTTTTACATTGAGGTAATTTTAGACTTAATTTTAGACTTGTAGTCGAATTGCAAAAATAGTGCAGAAGGTCCCATATACCTTTACCCAACTTCCCCTTACGTTAACATCTTACATAACCATAAAGCAGTCATCGAAACCAAGAATTTAACCTGAGTACAAGACTATTACTAACTAGACCACAAGTTATTGAATCCCCCCCCCCACTCCCCATTTCCCCACTAACACCCTTTTCACGTGCAGAGACCCCGCCAGGCTCCCATGCTGAATTCGGCTGTCTGGCCTCTTCCCAGCTGTAAGGTGCACCGGTCTTCTTGTCTTTCCCGCGCTTGGCAGTTTTATCCTGCAGGATGTCCCTCGCTTTGTCTGTTTTCTCACGATGAGACTGAAGTTGTGTGTTACTGGGAAGGATGTCACAGAGCTGCGCCGGTCTCCGGTGGCATGTGCTACTGGTGATGTTAACTCACTTGATAAATGTGGTGTCTTCCAGAATTCTACATGGGAAAGCTACTATTTTTCTCTCTGTAATGACTAGATATTTTGTTGGAGATCCTTTGAGACTACAGATATCTTGATTCTGCTTAAACGTGAACATCACTAATTGTTTTTTAGAGAGAGAGAAGGGAGAGGTAGAGAGAGAAACATGGGTGAGAGAGAAACATCATCAGTTGGCTGCCTCTTTCACACCCCACCCAGTGGGGATCGAGCCCGAATCCTGGGCACGTGCCCTGACTAGGAATCGAACCCGTGACCTCTTGGTGCATGGGATGATGCTCAACCACTAAGCCACACTGGCTGGGCTTAACCTCACTAATTTTAGCATCCATCCGAGGACCTCTCTGGCAGCAGCTGTGACCTTGATGTTCTGAGGGCCATTCTCTATCTCCCCGCTTCCTCTATGTTTATTCATTGGAATTCTTCTGTATGGAAGAGTTGTTTGTTCTGTGGTTGAAGGTCTCTGAGGATGGAGCTGCACAGCCCTACGTTCAAAGCCCAGTGCTCTGCCGCTGGGCCCGGCTGGCATTGTAAAGGACATATCTGGGTTTGCCAGCTGCAAGGAAAGGCAACTCAGCCCGAAGAGGAAGCTGTCGCAGGATGGCTCTGAGGTTTCCCCATCTGGAGACCTGGGTCCCCTCGCTGCACACCACTCGCCCCGAGAGCTCAGCAAGGAGCGGTCCCTCCGTGCCTGTTTCCTTGTGTGAAAGACAGGTGGTTGGAGGGAGGGTCCCTAAGGGTCCTCCCAGCTCTGAGGGTTTCTGCTCTACACTTCAGTTTCATTGGGCATAGGTCTCCCCTTGTCTTCTTCATCGCCACCCCCTGTCCTCATCGTCTCCGGAAGTACTGTGTGTACACCTCTCGTATCGTATAAAAACAACAGCTATCTCTTTCTAACTCTGCTCTCACCCCCCAAATGTTCTCTCCTGCGTCTGGGAAGATGAATAGTCCTTGTTCCTGGTGTGGACATTTTAACTACTTGGGAGGTTGTGCAACTAGACTTGTTACCATCCCAGAAGGCTGACCTGAAACAGATTTGACAAGAAAAGCCAAATTTTATTTTTCTGGCCTAGAATGCCTCTCCAGCCATGGGTCTGAGATGATGCTCATCTCTCCAAAGGTGAACGTCCGGCTTCCTTTTCCTCGGAGCGTAATGAATGCCTGTTTAATTCGGCACCCCGCTCCCACCGTCCATAATGAGCACTCATGAAACCTTTGTTAATAAAATGAGGATTTATTGAGTTTTCAGTTCTAATAAATAGTCAGCCATGATCTTCGCCACGGGCCCCAAGCCCTGGTAGAAATGAAAGGGTCTCTGTGACCACGGACAGGGAAGATGCTCATGTTCTTTAGTTGCAAAGGTGAGTCTCCCCCACCGCTTTGCTGCACTTTAAAGGCCTGAAGCTGAATTTTGTTTTCTTAGCACACCGAGGCCCCAGAGACACCTTAGCCAAGCAGTCAGACTTACAAAGGAAAGAGAGGAGAAGCAAACAGCAGCGAAGTAGGTAAAGAGTAAAGCAGATGGCTGTCTTAGCCGAGGGACCACGGACAAATCTGCTCTGAAGGCAGCGGGAGCCCAGACACCTTGCCCAACACCCCTGCTGGCTCTCAGGGGGCTGGGAGGGGAGGGGGTTCCACCACGCAGAGCTCCGGGAGGAAGGTGGGACCTAAGGGTTTTTCTTTCCAAATGAAGACCAGAACAGCAGGAAATCGAGGCTTACTTACTCCACCCCACCTCAAACAGTTAAAACCTGAAGCAGGAAAGAAACCGTGTCTTGGGATGCTTTTGTGATTCATTTTTTTGGTACGTGCCCCCAGCGGAACCGAACCTGGGACTCTCTGGTCTGCAGGCTGACACTCCAGCTCCAACCGCTGAGCCAAACCAGCCAGGGCTTGTGATTCATTTTTAAGACTGAATTTAAATGTAAAGAATAAAGATAAGGAGAAAGGCATGGAGGCTTCAGCTTCCTGCGGCCCCGAAAGCTGGCTGTTCCTTGGAGCCCCAAATAGGCGATTTCTAAAGCTGGGCTTCAAGAAACCGGAAGGAGCAGCCCCGGGAAGCCAGCCACGGGCAGAGCTGAGCTGGGTGACAGTCCTCTCGCCGCCACTCTCCCCTCAGCCTCCTTGGTCCTACCTGTCCCCACTTGTCTCTGCCAGCCTGTTGTTCATGATCGCGAAGGCTCCTACCCCCCCGGAGAACTCGCTGTCCCGAGGCTGCGTGCCGGGCTGGTGCTGGCAGCCGTTGGCCGACTCGGACAGCTGCTTCTGGAGCATGGCCAGCGAGACCTTGTTGGCCGTCAGGAAGTCCTTCATGGAGATCACCTCCTCCGAGGGATGCTGTCCATCTGAGGGACGCTGCCCATCCGTGTCACTCTCCATCGCCCCATCCGTTTCTATGGAGATGTTGCCCGGCATGACCAAGTTCCTCCGTGACCGCGGGAGTCCCCTCTGACACTGTCGGCAGCACCCGCCACCCATCTTCCTCAGGATCCAGTTCACGGACTGTTTGATGAGGATGGAGATGACATTGAACAAGGAGTAGATGCAGCAGACGCCCATGAGGATGAAGACAAAGTTGGCAAAGCGGTAGAGGCCCTGGTTCTCATACATGGCATTCTGGCTGCTGACGAGGTCCCCAAAGCCGATGGTGCTGAAAGCCACAAAGCAGAAGTACAGGGAGTCGAAGTAGCTCCAGCCCTCGATGCAGGTGTACATGGCAGACGCGCAGCAGGAGATGAGGACGGAGGCCATGCACAGGATCAGCATGACGTAGTACACGGAGGGCTTCCAGCCGGCCAGGCCGCCCACCGCGCTCTTCCCCGGGGCCTTCAGGCTGTGCTGGGGCAGGGCCCGCCGTCTCCGGAGCTGTCGCTGGTGGCACGACTTCATGCTGCAGGCGATGACGGTGATCAGGCGCTCCAGGAAGAGGTTGAAGAACAGGATGGTGCTCGCACACCCAATGAGGCCGTAAAAGATCAGAAAGATCTTCCCTCCTACTGTCGCTGGGGTCGTCATCCCAAACCCTGCAGGAGACAAAAGTCAGGGAGAAGAGTGAGGGAGGTCTTTGCTGTGAATGGGGTCAGGGTCTTGGTTTCGACGTGGGTAAAGGACCTACAGACACAGTCTTACAGGAGCACTTGGTCCCTGTCCTCCGGGGAGTGGGCGGGAAAGTCTCACTCCCTTTGAAGACGCTAGGTGGAGCTCAGAGCTGAAGCCATTGTGCAAGCCAGAGGAGGCACCTGGTCCTTCTGGTGGACACAGCCAGGGCAAATGGCGTGGTGATGACGGAGTGGGCTGCCATCCCCTCCCCACTCTGCTGGACGTCCTGGTACCGTCCACAAGCCGAACAACCGTACTCAACAGACGTCGTTCAGAGCCATACAAAGGCTCATACAAAGAAAAGGCTTAAACAGACTCATCAATTCATTCATTCCACAAACCTCAGTGCCGCTCCGAGAATGAGGGACAGAACTGTGGAAGAGACAGGCTGGTCCCTGCCGGCGGGCGCTCTCGCCTAGGCAGGCTATTGCTATGCTGTGTGGTAAGTGTTACGCTGGAGGAGGTACAGGATCCAAGGGAGCTGCTTAGAGGGGAGCCCGTTTCAGATATGGGGTTCTGGGAAGACTAAGCAGGGAGACTTGAAAGTCAAAGAGAAGTTAGGTAGAAGAGGAGTTGTGGCTGGTGTGGCTCAGTTGGTTGAGCTTCGTCCCGTGCACCAAGAGGTCGCAGGTTTGATTCCTGCTCGGAGCACACTCCCGGGTTTCGGGCTCGATCCCCAATAGGAGACATACAGGAGGCAGCCGATGTTTCTCTCTTTCAAAAAAAAATTTTAAAAGGAAAAGAAAAGGAGAGTGTGTGTGTGATGTGATGGTGGGGGTGGGGATGGTGGAGGTGATGGTGGGGGTGGGGGTGGGATGGTGGGGGTGGGGATGGGGATGGTGATGGTGGGAATGGGGGTGTGATGGTGGGGGTGGGGATGGGGATGGTGATGGTGGGGGTGGGGGTGGGATGGTGGGGGTGGGGATGGGGATGGTGATGGTGGGAATGGGGGTGTGATGGTGGGGGTGGGGATGGGGATGGTGATGGTGGGAATGGGGGTGTGATGGTGGGGGTGGGGATGGTGATGGTGGGAATGGGGGTGGCATGGTGGGGGTGAGGATGGGGATGGTGATGGTGGGGGAGATGCTGAGGATGGCGCTGTTTCAGGCAGAGAAGCATCAGCTGCTAGCATATGCAGAGTTGAAAATTTGCTCAGTGTTTTCTCATCTTTATTATTATTATTATTTTCCAATAATCATGCCTCGGATAAACCTCATTGGCTATGATACTGCCATTGCACAAAGCTTATTATTATTATTATTTTTAAATATGTTTTTATTGATTTTTTAGAGAGAGAGGGAGGGAGAGAGAAATAGAAATGTCTATGTGAGAGAGAAATATCGATCAGCTGCCTCCACACCCCGTACTGGGGATCGAGTCTGCAACCTGGGCATGTGCCCTGATGGGGAATTAAACTGGGACCTCTCAGTCCACGGGACGATGCTCAATCCACTGAGCCACACTGGCCAGGCACATTTTCTCATTTTTAAACGAAATTCTTCCAAGGTACACCTCATGCTCTGGAAGTGAAAACTGAGACGTGGGTTGATAAAATATAAAATGTCTCTCTTGCTTTTGTCTTTTCCTATTCACAGTTCCCACCTTCTTGATCTTTCTACCCACATGCATAGACATGTTACTAAGAATACCGACTGCAGGACAATGGATGTCACTGAGAAAAATGAGAAGTAGGAAAGACAGTAGTGATACACCTGCCCAGAATCAGAAGAGAGCTTTCTGGTGTAGCACAAGACTCAAATGGGCCCGTGTTTTCTTTTCCAAAACCTTCCTGTCCCATCCCAGAGGTGACAAGTATTCCCCTCTTGGGGAGCAGCGGCAGGAGTTGGTAGAGGAGCTCTTGGCCATAGGTCATGGCAATAGTGGACTGAGCACCTGTAGGTTCAAGCGTCTGCGTAGGGGTTTGGGGGACACAAAGATGACCTGCACAAGGTCCTGGACCTCAGGGAGCACAGCGTCCAGGCTGAGACAGACAAACTGCCGTGTACATCAAGGTACCGTGAGTCAAGGGCCAGAATCAAGGTGAGAGGGGGCTGCCCTGGCTTCAGGTCCTGACTGCGGCCTGGCCGGGCGGAGTGGCCGGCGCGTGTGCGTGGGTGCTGGAGCCCGTGCACGAGCCGGGCGGACTGATTTCCCAATGAGTGAGGTGTCTAGTGATTTCTCGACAGGTTCCAGGGATTTAAAATTTCTAGATTCTATCTTCTTTCGTTTTAAAGAAAGGATAACCCATGACTTTTGATTACCTACTGTATTGATGAATCCCTGCCATCTTTTCAACCAGCAAAAACGACAGAAAGGGGGCAGAGGGTGGTGTTCAGGGCAGCAAAGGCAGACAGCCTCCTCATGTCTGCAGCTGGAGGTGTTTCAGAGCTTTTACTTCTCAGACCTTAGAAGTGTGTAAGCTAAGCTTGCAGGCCTTTGCATAACAAGCCTCTGTTTTCTTGAGCTCATAACACTGAGCATTGAGGACACCCTGGATTGAGAATAATAAGCCTCAGGGTCCCCCCGGGTGGAGGAAAAGGACACAGGCATGATCCAAGGCCTGTCCTCTGTTGGGTGTCGCTGACTCCTCACACCCACGCTGGGAGCTGGGTGTTAATTTCTAGTTTATTGGTCTCCTTGGACGAACGAGGGAAAAGAAGAATACAGTAAGTTGCCTAGAGGTGGAAAGCCAGAATCAGGACCTAGATTTCTCTTGTCACCCAGGCCTGCGCTCTCTCCACCCGACTGCTGAGTGAGTGCAAGCTACTGGCAGGTGTGGACACGGAGTAGAATTGGGGGAGGGGCATAACCAAGCGTTTGTCGGTCCATGCTTTACCCTGACACCCAGACTGCAGGGGCTGCCAACTCTAGTACCAAAATCAGGAGACTGTCATCAGAAGCTAAAATCCTACAGCCGTTTCTTACTAACACATACATTCCAAAATTTCACATGCCTCTTCCAACAAGTGACGTAAAGAAATCACTTTAAGACCCTGTTATACTCCATGTGTTTCGGTCTCCCTGTATTTCATAGGCACGCAGCTGAAACGTTGTCACAGGTGGTGCTTCTCAATACACAATTGATCCCCTGGGCTCCCAGCCTGCGGCCATCTGATTCGTGTCCAACCCGAGTCCGGGAGCAGATGGGCCTGCCGATGGGGACCAAAGGCACACAGGTTTAGTTCGGAAGCCAAGGAAGGTCACCTGGTGGTCTGCCCCAGTCCAGCTCTGGTGAACCACTGCAGATCTGTTTTATGTGACCGTAACACCTACGCAGCTCCCTGGTGTCCTTGGGGCCAGGGGTGAAGCAACCAGGGACTCCCGGGTCCCAGTCAACCCCAAAAGAGCCCTCATGGAGACCAAGAAGAGAGGACAGCAGGCCTGCGGTCTCCCAGCCTTGCATGGGTATGCTGTCCACTGCATACTCTTTTTTATCCTCACCTGAGGACTTTTTTGCCTTTATCTTCAGCTAGAGTGGGAGGGAGGGGGAGAGAGAGAGAAACATCGATGTGAAAGGGACACACCGATTGGTCGCCACCCACATGACCCCAACCAGGGCCAGGGACAAACTGCAACCAAGGTACGTGCCCTTGGTGGGAACCCGGGACTCTCCGGTCTGCAGACCGACGCTCTAACCACGGAGCCAAACTGACCAGGGTTCCACTGCATATTCTTTTTTTTGTTGTTGTTACAAATGTTTCTTTTTTTGCCTCATTGGCACCCCCCTCCCCATCCCCCCCACCCTGTCCCCGGCTTTGTTGTCCATGTCCATTATGCATACATGCATATAAGTTCTGTGGTTTATCTCTTCCCACCCCCCACCCCCTCCTCTGAGGGATGTCAGTCTGTGCCCTACTTCCATGTTTCTGGGTCTACCGTATTCCTCAGACTGTTATGTTCATTATATTCCATTCCACTGCATATTCTTTAAAAAAAATTTTAGGTAAAAAACATAAAAGCGTTGCATTCTGATATTTTACACACACACACACAAAGGCAGAGAGAATACTGTAATACACCCTCATTTCCCAGTTCTAGCAATTGTCAACGTTTCTGCCAATCACGTTTCTGCTATCCCAGCCCACCACCTTTATTTACCAGAGTCTTTTAAAGTAAATCCCCAAAAGTTCCATTTCGCCCATTAACAGCAATGCATCTGTAACTGACAAGGACCTGATGCTCCCAAAGTAACCACTATGCCATTATCATGCCCAACAAAATTACATGATTTCCTTAACCCCAAATAATACCCAGTCCGTACTCAAGTTTCTCCAAATGACGTCTTTACAGGTCATCTGTATAAATCAGGTCCTAACAAGGTCCATGTATTTCATCTTTTTAGTCTCTTATTTGTTAATGGTCTCCCCTCCCATATTTTATGCTATTGATTTGTTGGGTAAATGTGTCCTATAGACTTTAATCATGATTATTTTCTAGAATCGTTTGAAAAAACAAAACAAAAAACCCAAATGTGTCTTCTGCGAGCGCTCTCTGGGGCAGTAGCACACCTCAGTGCACGGGGACACATGAACTGTCTCCCCCTTTTTGTTTTTTAATCCTCACCCAAGGACATTTTTCGATATTTTGTTCAGATAGAGTGGGAGGGAGGGAGAGAGAGAGAGAGAGAGAAACATCGACGTGAAAGGGACACATCGAGTGGTTGCCACCCACACAAACCAACCAAGGCCGGGGCCAAACTGCAACCAAGGTACGTGCCCTCAGCGGGAACCGAACCCGGGTCTCTCCAGACCGCAGGCCGACACTCTAACCGCTGAGCCAAACCAGCCAGGGCCACGTGAACTGTCTCGAAAGCAATTTGGGAACATGTATCACATATCTTAAAAATACATCTTTCTTCCTGTTTTTTTATTTTACAAATATAGCCCTAAAAATATCAGAAATGTGACTAATTATGTACCTTGAT